AACTTGCCACGGCCAAGCAAGACCACTTGAATACTACAGCCCATGGTCGAGGGCCTGCCTGTGAGAAAATATTGCGTGGAGCGAAAAGAAAACCGATGCTTCCATTTGTGAGGTGTGGTTGACCTGGACTTATGGCCAAGTTTCGTCATGCTCTTTCCCAGGAACACACCGCCCATCTCGATCCAATCAAAGCCTGGCATCAATGGATGGACTCAACCGAAAAATCTGCAAGTCTTGGGCAAGAACTGGGTGTGTTTCCAGTGCCCCTCTCGCCCAATGGCTACTCGCAAGGAAGCGAGAATTCATTGGAGGGTACTTAGATACGGCCAAAAGTTCCTAACGTGGGAAGCTTCCAGATCGCTCAACCGAAAACACACCGAAGCACCGTCGCGGCTCTTTGCCGCACCGACGGCGCTTGGATCTGCCGTCCGTCCGTCGATCCGGCAGCCCCGACCGTGCCGGCCTATGGAATAGGGGTTCGGATTGGTGCAGTTCATCTGCACAATGATATCCTCGGCGCCGAAGGAAGGCGGAAAGGAAGACAAAGTAGACAAAGGAGAGGCACCCATCCGTACAGGGCAAAGAAGGTGACTCTCACGAATGGGCTAATGGGGTTCATGAAAGCAGGGGGCCCCATGCCTCTGCTCAAGAGGAGGTCTTCCTGTGCAGGGCTGAGGTGCAAGTCAATGCGCGTATTTAGTCGTATACAGTATACACGTGCTATTGATGTTGATGCTTAACTTTTGAAATGGCCTGCTCCACTGTAAGTCCGCTAGATCGATACAACATCCTCTTTCTAGCTTTCAGTAGAGTTCCCCACCTGCCAGGTGAGGGTCGTTAGATTTCAGCAGGGCTGTCGTCCTCCTCCTCCTCGTTCTCCTCCTCCTCCTCCTCCTCCTCCTCCTCCACAAGTGCCACATCGCAATGGGCACCGCCGGGCCTCAACCACACGCACTCGATCGCAGTGGGCAGATCTCTGCTTCGCTGCGATGAGCGCCGCCGCCACGCCGCGGCTTCCTCCAACAGGAATAGTCAGGAAACTCAGAGAGAGAGAGAGAGTGTGATTCTGACCGCTACAGTGATTCCTTGGCCACTGTAGCTCTGTAGCTGGTGCAATGTAGCTCTTTTCTGCTTTCCAACGTGGTGCAGTGTAGCTCTGTACGCTGCGCTGTTTGCTCTCGGCGTTTTCTTTCACCCCATGCCTGTCCCAAAAGAACACATAACAACACAATCTGTCTTCTGGGCAAAAAAAAAGTCTTTTTGGTGGTGAACTTTCTGGCCACTCCCTAGCAAGCAAGATTCAGTTGTTGGATAAGCATGTTCAACTGAAGTAACGATTATGCTTTTCTTATCTCTAGTTGAAAGTGCATAGACATGCTGAGAGAATGCAATATGGCATCCCAATCCTTGAGTCGTCCCCTCTTTCGTCGTAAGGGGAAAGGATGGGAAAGGCTTTCCCAGAAGGCTGTGCGGCGCGGTTTGTGCACAAAATCTCCACCCAAAGACAGCTACTCAAAACAGGCCAATGCACGCTAATATGTCTGCTGTTGTCTTTTCGATCACTGTCAGTGATATCAGTGATATCGCTCTTGTGACTTCTTGGATTGTTTCGCCACACAAACAGAGCATCCCTGACAGCTGCTGGTCACTGGCACAACCTGTCGACAAGGATTCTTTGCACAAGAATACGTAGCAGGAGAACAGATTTCTTTCATCATTCACCCCCCCCATGTCCAAGGACTTTGAAGAACTTAAAGCGCTTGCAGAAATATGCAGAAGCGAAAGAAGTTGTTCAAAGCTCTAGGCAAAAATGAGAGCTCTTCGGGCTCTTTGGTGAAGTGCCAGGTGTCTGGTGGATGAGTTCTTCTTCTAGCTGTGGTGCGCCAAAACCCAAAAATATCCCAAGTTCATCCGGAATGGAATTCGATCAAGTTCATCACCGCTTCTCACACTCCAAGGCACAAAGGTGGTGGGCGACACCAAGGGCAGGCCCAGATGAAAGTTCCTCAACTCGGGGAGCTTCGCCTGTTGGCACGAGATCGTCGTGTAGAGCGGCGTCAGCTTCACGTAGATGCCTCGGTCGAACCGACCGCGTGGCGAGAGCGGCCGGAGAGAAGCGAGAATCGACCGTGTGTTGGTCCGGCCGGTGGCGGATAACAGGCGAAGCGGACCTGCCGGTGGCCGGGAGGGGCAGCGGAAAAAGCTGTTTCAAAGAAAAGATCACCCTACATGGGTGGATTCACATGGGGAGATTGACCGTGTTCAATAACTTGTCCTGGCAACGCAGAGGCTCCTGGAGAATTGCTGGCATCTGTGGGCGTCGGCGCTAGAGAGCAACCAAGCATGCAACATCCAAGGAGCCACATAACCGAAAGGTTTGGGGGGGTGGAAGTGAATGGCTGTCCATCTACCCTCAGCAACTCTCTGATACACTCAAGTCTTCGGACACATCGGGGTGGCTCGTTCATATTTTTGTGCATCCAACAAGGTTTATATAAAGGAGGCATGCCGCGTCCATTTTCGTTCAACATCTACAGCATTTCTTGGGCACAAGTATCTTGTTGTAGGTCGAGCACCCGGCCCGCCCAAACTCTGCCCAGTCCAACCGTTCAAAACCAAGCTGCTAGCTGCACAGGATCCGCAAAAGATGCAAAAGGTGCCTGGCGGTCGCGCGCCCCGCGCCCCTTTCGTCCGGGCCGTAGTTCTGCACCGTTCTGAGACCGTTCAGCGCAGCGCTGGCCGACGCGATCGTCGGAGTGATACGTGAGCCGAAAGTCGGGGCAAGTGGAAACCGGGAAGTCCGGAAAAGCACCATGGAGACCAGTTGTATTTGAACGACCAGTTGCAACATCGCGACTTTCTGGTGTCTCCTTTACTGGCATGTTTGAACATCGCATGGAGGCCGCTAAGAAGCACCGGTGAGGACCTGACTGTCCAAGCAATCACTGCAATCGTCCGACCCTCGTGCATCGTGACGATGAGGAACCGCTGGACGTGTTCCATGCTGTTCGATGAACGTTCCGTCACTGTCTGGGCCCAGGCCTGGAACTTCGTTCTACACTCAGTGCCGTGTGACTCGGTCCCAGTGAACACTTGGTGTGAACCCTTTAACATCCAGGCAGGACAGCCGCCGGCACAGCCGGGTGGGCGGATCAGCCACACGGATGGATGGCTAGCGGCTTGCCATAGGCCACCTCCACTGCCCGAACAGCGAAAACACATGTAAGGAGCGACTGTGACTCTTCTTCTGTTCTTCTGTTTACCACTTCAACCGCTGAAGCTATCCTTGCCTCAACCACCACTACCACCCTCCACCCCATCCTCACCTAAGAAAGCTGCCAAGATCCCGCAGCTGCAAGGAAACCGCGCGCAGAGGCCGCAGCACATGTCTCACGCACCTGGTAGAGCGTGTGGAGCGCTTTTGGTGTTTTTCATATCCGAACAACGGGCCACGAAGAAGCAAAGCCACAGACTGTGGGCGGATCTTCGTCCCCTTTGGGCGGATCTTGTCCACACATAGAAGGATTGATGTCCTTTGCAAGATTCTTCCAGGAAGAAACAAGAAAACGTCAGCCTATAGTGATCCATGCGTGGAGAACTGTCTTGTACTTACTAGGCCTCATGTTTAAAGGCCTGGCCTAGTAGGCCTAATGTTTCTTAGGACTCCGACCTCTTCTTCGCCCCCCCGCCTGAACGGTACAGGTGCCACACTTGCCCCGCCCAGGCGAGTCCGGGTGGGGGATCAACTCTTTGGTTGATCCAGGAGGATGTCCGCGACACTGGGATGTTTCGAGTGACTTCTCTCATTTGGGATGTGTTTTGAGTGTCCTCTCCCCAGAAACCACCCAAATCAGTGGGTTTTGCGCGGCTTTCTGGGTGGCTTGGAGGTCTTGGTCTGGACTCCACTTCGAGCGAATCCGCATTTCCCGTCGATGAGTTTCGCATGTCCTAACTGCACCACATGTAATTTAATCTGCGGCGCATGCCCAAATCCCCACTCCTCTAAGAAGCTATGACTCATGAACGTTCTTTCGGGGAGTGTATTTTCCTCCCAATCAAAGATATGTCTAGCCTTAGGGCCTTGAAATCAGCTGCGGAAACGTCCGAGGTGTTTATCTGCGCAGAAAACACACCACGTGAAGGAAGACATCTGGATATCCCGCCTGAGTCAGTCCATACCAGTATGCCTTATATATAGAGAAATCCATCCAAATGGTTCTGGATCTCTTGCCTCAGCAGGATAGCATACTGAAATAGAATCTCATGGCACAAAGGACAATGAGTTTGAGAAGTTAAAAATAGAAGAGACGCAATCCGTTCAGCACCAGAAGTCCGACAGTCGTGCCATTCATTTGTCTTCTCTCGATGCTTTTTGCAGTACCAAAAGATGGACTTCTTCCATACAAACCTCATGACTACTGCAATCACTGTCACCCAGCTCACCAGGGTCGTTGGTCGCCTAGAAACCCCGATCTTCGGAAAGGATCGCTGACGCCCGGACAGGACAGGTGGTGAAGAAGCCGTTACCCACCCAAAAGCAGGGCCTTTTGAGCACGGCCGCCCCAGTTGGTCAAAGAAAAACAAGCGTTCCACTCATGGTGTTGGTGACCTGGAAAACTCACCAAATGTGGTTTACATAGATCCCCCATGCCATAGCTCGGCTTGACCATGACAAAGTCCCCCTTGTCTCTACGAGCTGCTTGAGGTGGCATCTTCCTTCTGGATTCCAGAGTGAGGATGGCTGGAATTCTTGGACCCTGGAAGACTAACCCTGCCGAATCCGACAACCCAAAGATCCAAGCCTATCAGCTGTGGTTTGAGGTGAGCGAATGGCTGAGCTTCTGGACCCCAGAACCAAGGTATGGATCCCCCAAACTCACTCTTTAGATCTGTCGTTCTAAACAGGGGAGGCTGCCACCTCCCCAAGCCTCTGGTCCCCATGCCGAAACCGTTTCGACCCCCAACAAAAACACCTCGCTCCACCCGCGCCGAGTTTGCTCCTGCAAAAGCTCCGTCAGCTTCTCTCCCAGCTCTGCAGAGTCCACCGCCGCCGCCTGCAGAAACCACTCCGAGCCGGAGAGCGCGAAAACGAGCGCGCGAGCCCGTGCTCCGTGGTCAGAAACGAGAGCACTGGGCGCAGTAAGAGCGTTTCGCATCTTGGAGGGGATCACTCAGGGAGTCACTCAAGGGGAGCAAGGATGAGTTGTTGACTGGGGAACACTATGGAAGCGAGTAAAGGCAAGGCGAAAGTGCCTTGACGCTGATATCTCAATCATCCATGCACCGAAATGCTTGATGTTTTTATTACACGGTGTTCGTCAACATGGCCTTGGACCATGTGACCAATGACATCACTGTAAGAGGAAGCTCTGTCTTTACACAATCAAGAGTTTCTGGGACAGCGTCGAAAGTGGCTATCTGTTCATTATGTTAAAGGTATGTGACGGTATGTGTATATAACAGTGAGACAAGTACCATGTATTGCCATACTATGGCCAATTTTACACCTTTGACTAACGCAAAAAGCTATTTCAATGGTCTTACTGTAACATGTTTCTGTGTACATAAGTACATAAGAGTAAATATGTTCTCTGAATTTCCACCTACTAGTAACTAGTAGCTGTACTATTCCACTGAACGTGGTTTATGGCGGAAAAGACGGACGAAAAACAAGAAAAAAGCAGTACAGTAAGCAGATGTAAGTAGTGACTCCTGTCTAAACAACAGCCTTTGTTGCAACCGAATCCTCTGGCCTCTCGAGCCCTGTCTTTTGCCAAAATAAGAACGCAACCATGGCAAAACTTGATCTGTATGACTGTATGACGCTGATGGGGATACCTTCACCACCACCGTTTTCGTCAAACCTTCCAGCCCCCCGGCCTGTGCATAGACTGCAGCGTAGTCAGTGAGGGCCTCTGGTGCTCTCGCACCGTCGGCCCGCAACACACAAAGTCAGAGCGCAAGAAGTCTCCCGAAGCAACGGCTCCAAGTGGGAAGGCTCCAGGTGGTTAAGTCAGGAATTCTGAAAGGATCAACTCTCCCACTCCCTCCCATCAACCCATGAACACGCTGTGCGCGTCCCTCCTGAAAAGTGGCAAGTGGTCCTTCAGGAGCAAATGTCCCATGATCAGTCATGACGGATGGGGTGTGAATCTTCTGCTCCACACGGGTGATGGACAAGTCAGAACTCCAAGCAGTAACGCTTGTCAACCTGGTCGGCTCTGACCTACGAGTTCCAAGCTCTGAGTTCACCCTTCTTAGGCCTGGCAGTCAGAATATTCAGGGATCAAAAGGGGAGGGCGGCCACACACCACCAGTCACGAGGGCGTGATTCATCTCCTCTGGCCGTTCCGGGCGTTCCTTTGGTCAAGGAGAAACCGTTCCAAGGAATTCTCCAGCCGACTGGTCTTCCCCAAGGGTCCAGGGTCACAAAAGACCGCAGCCCAGGCACTTCCAATAGCCTTTCAAGCGGAGCCTGGCATTCCAACTCACCCATCAGGACGTCACACTCACAAAGACAGCTTCTCTTCCTCAATGGATGCCAACTCTTGCCAACTCTTGGTCGTGTAAAACACACTCCGAACCACCCGACGCGAACGTGATGAGTCCGATGAAGTACGGCCTCTGAGATTGGCACCCTTGAAATTAGGGATTGCTGTAGCGCGTCATGCATTGGCAGCAAATAGGGTATCAACATGCGTTTTTGTGTCTAGTCTCCCTGACCAGGAAGCCGAAAACTGAGGATCTCCCCTCCAAAACATCTACACAGTCAGGTGTGCCAGGGATGCGAGAGGTGTGCGCCAGGTCCCCCACCTGGCCTCAGGGAGCGTCTCCGCCATGTCAGTCATGTCGCTCATTATAAAAGACACAGAGTTGTTGACCCATTTGTTTTCGTGTGTGTGTGTGCTTTTGTTTTTCTATAGTGTATTTTGTTCTGGGCATTGAGCTGTCTGAATGGAATGAAATGTCAAAAGGACCTAGACCTTCTTCCAAGTTCGATTCTCTATAGACTCTATAGTTCAGAGTATATCAATGGAACAAGCCACGAAACCAAAGGATCCTTTGTGCCACCGATTCTGCATCCACAACCACTCGTTTTCACCTGCGGTTGTGACCCGCATCAGCCGGGCGGCTCCGCCGGCGCTGCTCGTTGCAGCTCCACTTTGGAAGCTCGGGCAGGAGAGGTGCAACGTCACAAAGCATGCCACTCACTTTCGCATGCGGACGGTCCGCATGCTTTATATGGTTTGTGCTACAGAAAGCCCCAAAATGCACTGACCGTCACTGATCATAAGTGTATTCAGTATTCTATATATCATGGACTCCTCACACAGACTGGTAGGCATAAACAGAATCCACATGAAACTTGCAGCCTTGGGAAGCATGGCGGAATGGAACAAAGAGGAAGCTTCTACGGCGACGTGATCGATGGGTCACTTCTGGAGGCCGACCCCCGGGGCCCCCAGGCGTCCGGGTAGAAACCAAAGCATGACCCGTTCGAAACAGTAGGGGACGTTTTCCACGAGAATCTAAAACTATTCTGGGAGTACATCAATAGAAGATGACCAAACCGAACATGTTACCAGTGTCCTATTGGTCTTTGGATGTACTCCAGAGTGTCTATAAATCTGAACTATCTGCTTTATCCAGCTGCTCCCAAACCTCGTGTTTCTGTAAGATGTACAACTGTGCTTGACACACAACTCCCAACTGAGATATGTCTTCTATTTCATGCTTTGATCAACAAAAACAACAATACAAAAATCCACCAAGAAACCATCATCACAGTAGTCATATCTTCCGGCGGCTGGCAAAGTCTCTTCCGGCGGCTTATTCCGGGGTTTTTCGGCTCCAAGCTTCCCCGCAAAGCCGGTAGGTGCCGTTGGGCAAGCGCCTCAAACATGAGACGGGAACCGGGTTCAAGCGCCTCAAGGGTTCACTCGAGGCGGCACCGTCGGGTGTGACGGGTGCCGTTGGGGCCATGGGTCCTGTCGGGTGCCAACCTGTGGAGTTCAACACTGGAAAATGCTACCGACTCAGCACACCTCTAGGCACCGACTGTCACCGACTTGCGCCTGGCAGAGTTGAGGAAGAGTGAGGCACACGCCACGCGCTGCAAACGCTCCACCTAGAGGTGGCTGCACGGTTGTGGCATGGGTCGTGCGAGTCATCTACAGCTCAGAAAAAAAAACTAAGGTCATGGCTCCCTGTAGTGTTGGATCACTGTTGTTGATCACATGTAGTGTGACACCAAAGCTTTGGTGGCATCATACCGAGTGTTGGATTCCTTACACGTGCTTTCCTCAGAAAGCAACAAAATGTGGGGTGGTGGGCATTTGCCGCTCCATCCTCTTTACGGGTCGCGAAGTACCGTGTGGAGATGCAACACCCGATTGCCCTGTCCAAGTGATTGCCCCATCACCCCGTGAGGCCTGGTTTCCACTCCCCACGTGTGTTTTCTTTTGGCCACGTGGCCCTAAATGTTTGATCTATCTGGAGGTCTCTTCAGGAGTGCAAGCACTTCCCTGCGGAACCCGCCTGCCTCTGATACCACTCACATCTCCACGGGACGACCGGTTGTAGGGCGCGCGACGGTTGTAGGCGCGGCGCAGGTCCCTTGAGGGTCCAAACCCGAAAAGGTCTCCCATGTCTGTCCCTTTCTCCGTCCATGTCCCGCGTGTCCAAAAAAACGGACTCCAAAAGAATAAGTCAAGTGGCGGAGTCCAAACTGTGAAGCCTTGAGATGGAAAAAGAAACATGGAAACATTGGAAAAAAAATAGATACCAAAAAGAGAATTCACGCTCACAGAGGTCATTTCCCCTCTCGAATTTGGGGAAAATCCCGAACTGAGCATCGCCTCGCTGCCACAGCTCTCCTCTGGTAGGTTGAACCTGAGGTCGGTCAGCGAGCGGGACAAGGCGAGAAGCGAGCACAGGAGTGGCGCTGGAAGAATCTACAACCGACCAAATGGCTGGATGAAGCAATTCAAAAGAGAACTCATGCCCCAAACAAAATGAAAATCGGGAAAAGGAACATACACACTCACTTGATTAAGTCCACCCTGAATCCCTTCTTCACGAGCTTGTGTCGAGACATGTTCATCACCTCGGAAAATTTGGACTCGCTCAGCTTGATCACAGAAATATTGGTGACCAAATGGGGTCAGGACCCTTCCAAACAACTCTTCAATCCAGCAAGAACGGCGAACGAAATGGCACGACGCGCGACCGCCCTTCCCAGCTGCCAAGCTTTTTTGGCTTTTGAACAAAAGGCAGCTCATGGCCTTGAGTTTGGTTTGTGTCTTCATGAAACGCTTCTCGATGTGTGCGTGTCATCCTTCAACACTCCCCCTTCATCAGGTCGTCAGTCCCTGATGATTCCAGAGAAATTTCTTCTCATTTCTTTCCATTCAAAATTCGAGCCTCTTAGGCTCAAGCCACCTCTTCTTTTTCTTTCATCCATCATAAGGTGTGCAGCGAGTGCACGGGGTGTACCGCAGCAGCGGCTCCGAGCGAAGCCTCTTGCAGGCTTTATTTGGGTGGATTTCACCACCCCAGGAATTGGACCACATGTTCCAATTCGTCCTCCTTCCTATGCTTCTGGTGCAGTCTGGACACCACGGCGACCTTTTGGCTGCACCTGTCCGAGGAGCGACCAGATAGTCGCAAGTTTCCCTGCAGTGGAAGGCCTTTCCAAATCTGGTCGTCAGGATCGGAGGCACATACATGGTGGGTGTGATGAACGGCACCCTTTGCGCTGCCTTCGGTGCAGCTGCTTGCGTGCTTTCTTGGGTTCCAGCTGGTGTAGAGCTGGATGCTGTTGGATTTCTCTCCTCTTCTTCTTCCAGGTCCTGGAGTCTTCTTCGGAAGTCCAAGGCCTTCTTTGTTTCTTCTTCTTCATCAGTATCTTCTTCTTCTGTTCTCCTTCCTTTAGGAAGCTCCATCCAATCTTGCGGTGGTACCCAGTTGTCAGGCACCTTGTACGGTGTTCCATCCACCGTGATGATGGTGTCCCTTTTCTTTCCCGACTTTTGGGAAGACATCTTGTTCACCGTGACTGGAGGAGTCACTGGAATCTCCTGAGGTAGCCCTCTTGGTCTTGGGACCACCGGTGTCATTGGAAGATTCCGACTTTCTTCTTCTTTCCTTTCTTCTTTCGTTTCTTCTTTGACCTTCATGGCCTTCATTTTTCTTGGTGTCTTTGGTGGGGTTACGGGAAGACTTCTTGGGTGTGTGGATCTTCCCCTTGAAGGGTACCACAGGCCCGGTACTCTTTCCTTCGCAACCCACCTGACGATCATCGTGATGAGGATCACTCCCATGGTGTAGATCATCACCATCATTTCAAAGGAAATGTCTATGGAGTCTATGGCTTCTTCCTCCTTTTCATCTTCTCCTTGTGCTTTGGTGGCCGTGAGAGACGCTGCAATGAGAAGCACTCGCAAAATCGCAGCTGTCTTGGCCTTCTTCATTTGTGTTTGTTCTTCGGCTTCTCTTCCACACTCTCCTTCTCTCTTCTTCTCCTCACTTTTCTTCTGTTCTTCACTTAGCTTCAAATCCTTCTCTTCCTTCTTTTCTTCTTCTTTCATCGTCTTGGCCATGTTCATCTTCTTTTTGAGGTCTTCTAATCGGGGTCCTGTGAGAGGTTTCGTCCCGATGTCTGCCAGCATGTCCTCACCTGGAACGTGAGCTATTCCCCACAATCCCTCTTGAAGGCATTGGCGAGTATAGGCTGAGCGGAGACGAAGGTGTCGCGTCCTCCATGACCCTCCCTCTGACGTCAGGATTGAGATCCCTGACTGACTGTCAGTCCAAGCCATTCTTGGAAGCCTTCCCACCAGTTCGTCGAGGATCACCGAGATTGACTCCCCGGCGACCATACCTTCAACCACTTCAGTGAGTTCGGCTTCAGCTGTGGACAGTGTTACTGTGCTTTGGCGACCTGATTTCCAGAAAATGGGACATGAGCCCACCACCACAATGCAGCATCCATGGGATTCCTCGGCATTTGGAGCATATGATGCGTCAGTGAAGACGTTGAGCACCAACTCCTCATCTTCTTTCAGGAGATACTTGAGGCCGAGGGTCTTCGTTCCCAGTAGATATCCTTTGGCTTGGATTCCTGCTTCAGTGACGGCTTGTGGACTTCTCAGGATGTTGGCTCCCATTCTGGACACTGAGAACATCAGATCTGGCCGTGTCCTGGTGACCAGCCACAAGAGTTCACCCACCACCTTTTGGGCTGAGCGGATTTGTGACTGTGATGGCATCTCTTCTGTTGGTTCCATCGAGGCTTGGTCTCGTGTCATCGGGATCTTTCTGGTCTTCAGCTTCTCCTCTCCTGTACTCAGCAGGTCTTCCACATAGGAGGACTGGGAAATGAACCAGGCAAATCTTTCAGCTTGGTGATCCCATTCTTTTGACACTTCCATCCCCAGGAACTTGATCGGCACTTCGGAGACATTCTGTGGGCTTGACGTGGTCCATGTCTTTTGAACATGTTCACGAATGGCCTCGGTGATTTCTTGAGGTCCCACGATGAACAGATCGTCGACGTAGGTCATCACTAGGCCTTTCATTTCTTCACTTTCATCTTCTTCGAAGACCACTTTCCACAGGTTGGGCTCCGAGTCCAGCGCCTTCAACTTCATCTTCTTTTCTTTTCCTTCTTCTTGGACCTTGATCTCAAACTTCCTCATCGCTTCATCGCGATGTTCACCCCATAGGCGTGGAGACCTTCTGAGCCCATATACCGCCTTCTGAGGGAGGTAGTAGGTGTCTTTTTCCATGAAGCCTCGTTCCACAAAGAACGTGGGTGGAAGGACGAGCATCAAGTGTTCATCATCCTTGAACGTCATCTCAGCGTTCAAGAAGGCTGTCTTCACGTCGAGACTTGTGCCTTCCCACTGGTGTCTTGCCGCCAGTAGGATCATAATTCGGAATGCTGAGGCATCAGCACCACCTGAGTAGTTGATCTCCTCAGGCTGTTTGGACTCAAAGTTTCCACATATCACCCAGCGGACCTTGAGCTTTCCACCATTTTTGCCAGGTTTTCTGGCGAACACCAGCTTTGAAGGAATGAGTTCGACCTTCACTCCTCTTCTTTTGGCCTCTTCCATGAAGTCTGTGACCTTTTGAGCTGCGAGTGGAAGGAGTGCTTGTTTCTCCGTGAGCAACGAATGCACTTCATCCTCAGCCGATGGCAGCCATTTCTTCCATTCCTTCGCCACTTCCTTTGGCGACACGATCTTCGTTTGGAGGATTTCTTCTTCTTCCTCCACCCCTTCTTCTAGGATCTTCTTGAGCTTCCCCAAAATGAGGATCGAACAAACCGCGAGGTCAGGGTCGTCTTCATGGATCTTGAGCATTTCTTCTTCCACCACCCTTTTTATCCTCATCCTTTCTTTCTTTTCTTTCTCTTCCTCACTTTCTGCCTCCTTTTGTATTTTCTTTATTGTGGTCTTCCCCCTCACCCTTCTTCTGAGGGTTAGACCGTCCAAGAGTTCACGTTCTAGGGCGATCCACTGTCCCTCTGTTGGCCTTTGATCCACCTTCTTCATGACACACCGGGTGAGTCTTGGACGTTCACCCTCCTTCACGATCCAGTGACCGTGGTTCTCGGTCGATGGACCGAGATAGGACACTTCTTCCATAGTTGGTCCCAGCTCATCCCTCTGCCAGCGTCGTTTCCGTACCAGGATCTTTTCCATAAACATTGGAAAAGATGGAACTTCGTAGATCCGATGGCAGCGTAGGATCTCGTTGATGTACATTGTAGCCCAGGGCCACCACCTCGCATCTTTTTCAGCTTGGTGTAGTGCCTTCCGAACCATCGTTTTCACTCGTTTTACCGTGGATTCTGCACGGCCGTTCGCCTGGGGTTCGTCTCCTGCAGTTTTGGTCAACACGATTCCCCGTTTCCTGCAGTAGGCTGCAAACTGGCCTGAAAATTCATGGCCTTGATCGGAGTGTATCCGACTGACGGTGTATCCGTCCATCCTCAACCTCAACACCATTTCCATAGTGGCCTTGGTGACTTCCAGCGACTTTTTTGTGAGCATAGGAAGTGCCAGGTGGAAGGTCTTGATTTCGAAGTCTTTTGGAGGTTTGGAGCCTTTCATTGGAGTGGCTTCATCTCCCCCTGGACTCAGCTCTTCCTGTAGGTGGCCCACCTCCCTTCCTTCTCTTTCTTCTGCATCCGAGATCGTTTCTCGGCGTCCTCCTGAGACCTCTCGATCTTCTTGGACTTCACCTGTTTCTTCATCTCTTTCTTTATCTTCTTCCTCTTCCCTTTCCGCCTCAATCATTGGCAGTTCTTCGTCACCTTCTTCTTCTGGTTCCTCCTCCGTGGTTCTTTTGGATCCTGTTGGAACGGCCCAGGTGAAAGCGCCAGCCAGAAAATATCTGGACAACTGTCCTCCTTGGTCTGTCGCCGGTGTCAAGGGTCCCGCAGTGTCCAACGACAGGACTCCAGCTAGTGGATGTTGAACTCGACGGTGAGGATTGCACTGCTGCATGTTTTCTTGACAGATTCTGCAGTCTCTTCTTGATGGCGTGTGCCCAAATGCCAAATGCTCTTCCCAGGACAGTGCCTTCAGCTTTGGCTGTTGGTGAAATGCCTGGGCAAGTAGAGCTGTTGCTACCATGTTCATCAGTCCTGGAGGCCATCGTGCCAGTTGCCAAGAGTGGTTGACCTGTCGATCGTCCATGGACTTGAGAACATGATCTTCAGGTGCCAGTTGGAGATTCCCTCCAAACGTCGTTGGCTTTGTTGCAGCTCCTCCAAGAGGTCGTTGTGAGAACGTCGTTTCTTCCCACTCAAATTCTTCTTTTAGTGAAGCACACTGAGATGTGTCCCAGAATGACACCACTTCAGGTTTGTACTCTTTTGGTGATGCTGGCTGCTCGAGAGAGAAGATGAAAGGATCTGGTTCCCTTCTTGCCTTTCGCAAATGAGAGGCCACCATTCCCAAAAACACCATTCTCCAAAGCAAAACATCATCTTCCCAGAGCTTCTGTTTTTCTTCTTGGGTCGCTTCTTCTATCCCGAATTCTTCGCCTCCCCATCTTCGGATCGGACGTGGTGGATCAGGTCCAGGTACTGGAAAATGTCGAAGAACTGACCTAGTTCTGCAGTTGGGTCCTCCGACCAGCCCTCGAACCTGTCCAGACAGAACGGCCTTGAGAAGTGCCGGATATGCCCCGTTGGACTTCAGCATGTCGTGTTCGGGACCTCGCTGCAAATCAATTTCTAGCAGCTCAACCTCCTTCCCTCCGATCTGTTGCCACGCTCGACTCAGGGTGAAGCCTTCTTCAGGACCTGCGTACAGGTGGACAATGAATCCATCTCTTTTCATTCTTTTCCTTTTTCTTCGATTGGCTGGAAGTTGACATCCTTCCGTGCGCATGACGACCAGCTCCTTCTTGATGTTGTCTGGGAGCGATGCCAAGACCGGGTGCTTCTCAACCAGCTCTTTCAACCATTTCACCTCCTTTTCAAACTCTTCCACCTCCTTGAATTTCATCCCCTTTTTGACTTGTTCTAGCTCATCGATGAGCTGGATAGCCACTTTCTTTGGGACTTGTGGGCATCCTTCACAGTCTTCAACTGGGAGTTTTCCGTGGACAGGATGGATCACCTCCAAGCTTCCTCGCGACCAGTTGACCTTGCAATCCAACTGCCTTGTCAGTTGTCCCATGGGGATGATGGGCTCGATGTCTTGGTCTTCAGTGATCATCACTCCCCCTGGAGTTATTGGGAGCCATGTGGTCTGTCCATCGGCCAGAGCAACTTGGACCTTCTCGTAGAGCTCCTTGTTCTCGCCTCGTTTGATGGGTCGAAGCGGGTGTGTGGCTCCACTGTCCAGTAGGCCAGCTCTTTCCCCCTTTTTCAACCTCATGAGGCGAAATGCCTTCTGGCGAAGTGCGTTGGCTTTTGCAACCTTCCTGAGCGGTGGGAGACGAAGTGGATGACGAGGGAGATGAGTTCAACGACTTCAACATTTTGTTTGCTTCTTCCAGTAGGTCTTTTACACTCGGTTGCATGGACCCACTTGTTTCTTCTTGTTCCTTTGCTTCCTCTTTCACATCCTTTCCTTTTTCTGCCTTCGCAAGCTTTGGCTTCGGATTTTCTTTTCCTTCCTTCGGCCTGGTGCATGCCGGAGCCATGTGGTCCGTGCCACCACAATTCCAACATCTTCTCTTTTCATCTCTTTGGTCGTGGGAGTACGAACATCCCTTGCCTCTTCTGCATCCATTGTCGGAGAGGTAGAATCGGCACTTGCTTTTCTCCTTGTTCCCAACCTCCTTGTAGTCTTTTGTACCTTGGTCTTTTGACTGTTCTTCAAACTTCTTCAACTTTGGAGGTTCTGTTGTCACCTCCTTCTTCTTTGCTTGATGGCCCATAGTCTCCAATTCAGCCAACAAGTGGTGCGAGTACTTTGTGACAGATTCTTGGGTTGGTATCGTATCCACCATGAGCTGGTTTCTTGTGAGCTGAAGCCGAAAGTTCAAGTCTGAGTGTGTCGCGCTCAGCTTTTTCATCAAGCGGCCCAACCCTTTGACCAGGAGGGTGGCGTCCGGGATAGACACCCCAAGCTCTTCTGCCCGCCTCTTCCATCGGAGCCACCTTCTGAGGGTGGTGACCCCTCCAGCAATTGTTTGTGCTTCTTGTGGCGACTCCAATGCCGCCAAGATGGCAGACTTTTCTGCCAGTCCACCTGGTTGGTATTGCGTCATCCCTTTTGTTAGGATTCCCAAGGTGGTCAAACTTCTCGATGAAACAACTTCCTCCCTTAGCCCTTCAGGGATGGCAGCCAAGAGTAAGGAGGAAGCTCTCCTTTCCAGCCGCTGCCACTTCTTCTGCACCAAGAGAGGTGGAGGGACAGGATGATGCTGCAAGCGCTCTAAGGGAGTTTTCCCCATGTGGGAAACATACCATGCCCTTGCAGTGTCCACCACCACCTGCCACCATTCTTCAGAGCTGCTGCTGAGATCCCCCATCAGCGGCTGAATCACCAGGAGCCAATCCGAGAAGTCGATGGGACCAGTCTCCGGTGACCATTCTGGAAGCTTAGGCAGTTCAACTCCTCTTTGAACCACTTCTGGGCTTCCTTCTCTTTCTCCATTTTCTTTTCCTGTATTCTTGACGATCTTCTTCTGGATGTCTTGCATTCCTTGGAGCAGTCGGAGGATCACATCCACGGTTTGTGGAGGGAGTGCATCTGAGGAAGACTGTTCCTTCTTTCGTCCCCCATTGCCCTTCCCTGTTGACCCTTCGCGTGCTTCTTCTTCGTTTCTAGACTCTCGTTCATGGTCATGTGGACCAGGATTCATCTCTTCCTCCTCTACTCCCAAACTTTCATTAGGGGTTGCAAAGAAGCCTTCTTCTTCCTTGGCCTCCAACTGGGATGAGAGCTTCTTGAGGTTTCCCTTGAGTTGGCGATTCTCTTCAATCACCTGCTGCAAATGGCGTGTTCGAAGCCAGTCACTTTCTTCTTTCTTCTTTTCCGATGTCACGGCACTGGCAGCTTGTGTCCTGAGCTTTTGGTTTTCGACCATCAGGTATTGCAGCTGTCGTGACAACTCCTCCTTTTCGGTCCTTTCGAACCTCATTCTTTCTTCAAAGTTCTTTAACTCTTCTTCCCTTTCCTCCATCCTCCACCTTCTAATCCCTTCTGGTTCTTCTTTTTCCAAAAAGGATGGCCGAGCGACGGAGTATGGGGTTTGAAACTGTGGGTACAGTGCTGGAGCTTGTTCATACATGTGGTGAAGTCCTTGCAACTGTTCCCTTGTGAACAACGGGAGCTGTGAGTCCGGTGGAGTTGACATCGACACAACAAGCGGCTCCGTCGTGTCTTCTTCACAGTCTTGGTCCACCCTTTTCCCACCATTCCCCTTTCCTCCAACCTCTTCTTTTCTTGTGGAAGCTTCCATGGTCTTCCTTTCTGCAGGTGTCCTGACTTCAGCTTCGCCTCCTTCAGCTGGTGCCATCTTTCTTTGGTCCTGCGGCTGAGGAGTCCTGGCTGTCGGTTGTGGAGTCCTGCCAGTGGTCTGCGGGGTCTTGGACGATTCGGAAGCTCTCGTCCGGCTGTCTTCGTTGGGAACTGGAACCGACGTCGAAGGAGTGCCCTGTGCAGTCTCGGCGATGGATTGGAGCTCCAAACCCCCTTCCCTCTTACCACTGCCATTGGCCTTTTCCTTTCTTTCATCTTCGATGGGGAGTTCCCCACTTTCCCTTGCCTCCCTTTCCAGCCTCTTCTGAGCTGCTTCCATCTCTTTTTGTCCCTGCCTCAGTTCTTCTTGTGTCGCCTTTCGACGACGGTGCTGTTGCAGCGACATTCCAAGACCTCACTTCAGCAAGATCTTGGGCTCATAACCTGACCAAATGGGGTCAGGACCCTTCCAAACAACTCTTCAATCCAGCAAGAACGGCGAACGAAATGGCACGACGCGCGACCGCCCTTCCCAGCTGCCAAGCTTTTTTGGCTTTTGAACAAAAGGCAGCTCATGGCCTTGAGTTTGGTTTGTGTCTTCATGAAACGCTTCTCGATGTGTGCGTGTCATCCTTCAACAATTGGGATACCAAAATGATCCAAAATGTGCGCCGTGTTGAAGGCTCTACCAGGTGCCCATACTGAAAGAGCCACAAACTGGGCAAAGCCCATCAATCCTCCCTCTAGTTCAATACCTTTCCCTGGCTGTCCATCCCTAAACCTAGGCCTCCACACTTGGCCAGGTACATCCCCAGCTGCTGCTTCACCTGGGGCAGCTCAACTTCTTCAACAGCTTGGCTGGGGAACCCATCTGCCCCACAAATATGACAATCACTTTCTTCAAGGATGGTTACTAATCATCCAACTGTTCAATATTAAACCTTTTTGGAAGATCCCTCGATTCAGGACCTCTGTTCATTGCCAAACAATCCATCACGGATCTTTAAGGCTTGTTGGTGCACCTTGGCAATCTTGCAGCATGCCAAAATCCACGGTGGTGACCTAGTATGACCAGAATCCAGATCCTGTCTTTTTAGATCAATGCCTGATTGGTTTTGTTCCACACTTGTGTCAAGCCCATTTTCAAGACTCTTGAAGAAGAGCTCATCCTCTGCGGCGAGGACTTGGTAGGCGAAAGAAGCTCGTCAGATCTGCATTCACTCGACCTCCCTAGATCTACCCTACAGGTCAGTTGGACCTCATTTTTCTGGAGTTGGTCATACAAAACCACTACTCAAGGAGGCTTTCAGGTCCAGGTTTTACTAGGTCAGGGTCTACGACCAAACATACGAAAATAACCTCCCTAAACTCTCCCCCTTAGGCCTTTGGGGGGGTGGGTTCATCTGGACAGACCAAATTGTCAGGGTTCCCATTCTGGAGAACCGACTTCAATGACTCTTCAGTCGGCGCCTTCATCGCGCGGTCCAAGAGCTTGGCATTCAGCAGGTGGCGCTTGGCCCACTCGGGGTCCTTCTCCCCTCCAGGCGCCGCCGTGGCAGACGCACCAGGACGGGGGGGCGGAAGGTGCGAGATGAGACTGGGGGGGCTGCTTCGAAGAAAGTGTGGGGACGTTCCGAAGAAAAGAGGACAAAGAACGGAGCCCGGAGCTTGACATGAACAAATAATATATTGGGTCCAAGACAGAAGCTTACAATAAACGGATTTCACATCTACCGTATCACCCTGATGTTGGAAATCTCCAATCTGCCGAGGTCTTGAACGAAGAAAGAGACTAACCAAAGATGGCTGCCTACGGGTGTTGCTTTTCCCACCAACTGGCACGGCTGAGTTCCCTCAGCCGAGCGCAGCACGTGCTCGGCCAGAGCGCAGTCGGCCACCTTGGAGCCGAGGTGCGATACACTTCGTACTGCCGATAGATGTTCAGCACCGAGACCAGGTCTCCCTCGTACACCGCGAAGGACTCCTTGCAGTTCAGCAAGCGATCCTGACGAACGGATAGAGAACTGGCGATGGCAGAACAATGGTTGAACGGTTGGAGAAAGGCCAATTAGTGATACAGTTAGATTTAGATTTCAATGATCAAAAGAATGGTATTGACAGAGTCGCGACTTTGCGGTTCCAGGTGGTCTCTAAAAAAACGCTTTGTAGTCAGGTATTGCCAGGTTGAACTGCAGCAAGTCACAGCATTTTGCGCTGGTCAGGCATGGATCTGTGAACTGAAAGACCTACATTGCACAGGGGCATCCAAGGCGCAGCCGGCCCAATCGGCCAAGGCCACTGGATGGAAGGCTGCCTCCTGAGCAAACCTATCCTCAAACCTGTGAAAGCAGCTCAGACAGTGATCTCGGAGCTTGTTGCAAGTCCCAACTTCAAAGGAGACTGGGTGTCAGGGTAGATGCAGACTCCCAACAAACTGGAGAGGTGCACACACTTGGAGCCAGAAGGACAGCCTCCCAAGATGCAGGCCAGGGCGCAGTACTTGTCGCCGGAGCTGCTATCCTGCAGAATGCACATGGGATGCGCAGTGGTTCCGGTTGGCACGTCGGTAGGGCAAGAGCCGCTGTCGCAGTGGGGAGCGCAAACGCTGCCACCAGCTCCCTCCACTTCGGCCTGGACCTCGTCGCTTTGGCAAGGAGGCTTCTCATAGTGACTCTTGCTGGGAGTAGGAGGCGAAGGAGGAGATGGAGGGGAAGGAGGAGATGGAGATGGTCCAGAACCAGACACCACTGGGTAGGAGGCCTGAGCCTTGATTCCGCACTCACCAGGGCCAGGCTTGCCACGCTCAAGCTTCACGAAACCCTCCTCACCCCAAGTGGCTCCCCAGCTGTTCTTCACCAGCCAGTAGTCAGTGCCATCCTCTGTGCCGTACCCAACCACCAAAACACCGTGATCAAGCTTGGTGCCGCAGGTCTTGGTCAGGACACCGCTCTTGTAGAGCTGGAAAGCCATTTGATCTGCCTCAATGGCCACTGAAACTGGTTGCTTTGCCACAGCATCCATGAGAGCATTCTCATCATCCACCTTCAC